GTTTGGTAATGCTAAATTCGAAATATTTTTTTTATGAAAATAGCAAATTCGGTTTATTATTAAACAATTCAGCGCACAAAATAAAAAATTACGCATTTAATGAAAAAATGACTAATAAACCTGATAAATAAAAAAACATTGTCATAAAACAAAGTCATATTTTTTTTGTTAAAACATCATAATGTTTATTTAAATAATAACATCATGTAAATTCACATTTCAATTTCACATCAACAAACAAAAAATTATTGTTTTTCAAAAAAATCATTTAATAATTAAAATAATTGAAGTGGAGTATAATATATCTATAAACTTACTATATAACCAAACTTTTGACAAAAAATTAAAGCGAAATGAAAAATGAAAATATAAAAGAAGACAATTAACATCAACGATCATAGGACAATATTATCTCAGCGTATTAAGTTTCACATTTTATTTCAAGTACTAATAGTTATATTTATCTAGCACATTCCTATCCATAACATAAAAAAGTCAATGCGCTCCAAATAAGCTTGACTTCCAAACACACTTGCCTTCACTGATATGGCCTGCAACCAAAAAGATAAATTAATTAATATAATATCTGAAACTTGCAAGTGATAATTAAATAAACAAAATACATCCATCATCACTTTTACCATCATTATCAAAATTATAATTTTACTAACTTAACAACAAACAAAAACCTTAAACTCTCAAGCACCTTTGTCAAAGAATATCCCACTCTCAAGCAGTTTGATGGGAAGGGAAGTCCAAGACAACTTGTTTCCCATAATGTGGGAACAAGTGGAGATCATCTTGTCAAACAGTCCATGTGTCCCTGAAAACAAATGCATTTGACTGGTATATTGATTTGGAGCCTGGTTCCATTGACAACTGGCAAGATGTAGAACGTGAGTTCTTAAACCGTTTCTACAACACAAAGAGAGTGGTGAGCTTGCTTGAGGTGACAACTACTCTCCAGTGGAAAGATGAACCCGTGATAACTTACATCGAGCGTTGGAGGAATGTTGCCCTCAATTGCAAAGATCGGATTTCTACAAACCCCACAATTGATATGTGCAATGAAGGCATGCATTGGGAGTTGTGTTATATTCTCAAAGGAGTGAATCCAACTAATTTCGATGAATTAGCAAGCAAAGCTCATAACTTGGAGTTGAGCATTGCAAGTAATGGAAGACAAACCTTGGGCATATATCTCGTGAACAATGTTGTTGAAAAGCAAGATATTAAGAAAGGGGGCAAGCCCTTTTCTAATTTTGAAAAGATAGAAGCTATGGTTGTGAAGGCTTCACCAGTCTTCACTCAAACTACCGAGAAGGCAAAACAAGTTCCTATAGTTGAACCTGAAGCCCCAAGGCATGCCAAGCCGACTTTGGGAGAGATGATGGAGAAACAAATCCTTTCATGGAGTCAGATGTTTCTCCAATGTTTGATGAACTGACGAGGTTGAAACTTCTTGATTTAACTCAGTCAAAACGACCTGAGGAAGCCACAAAGGTAATGATCTTAACTACTGCAAATATCTTAGAGTGCTAAGTCACCCCGATAGAGAAGTGTTGGATGTTCAAAGACAAAATTATAGCCTTAGCCCACGAAGGAAAGATTGAACCTGCTGATTCTGCCGCAAGCACAAACCAAATTACCATTACATTTGGTAGGTTTGCTCCACTCTCTGTTCTGAAAATCGTTCAAGGCGCCCGACTAGTCCCCGCCTAGGCGCTAGGCGGTGGCTGGGCGCCCCAATTTTCGTCTAGACACTCCGATTAATTGGTTTGTCGTCTAGGTGATTTAATCAGCCATCTACGGTGCCTAGTTGTCCACCTAGAGCGCCTAATTGGCCGCCTAGGTCGTCTAAATTCACCGAACATTACTTTACTTTTTAATTTTAATTTTCTAAGTGATATACGTACTTTAACTTTAGCCATGGATATAAAGAAATGAAGTTGTAAATTAAGATAAAACTATATATGTTTGTATAATACGTAGATTTTATCATTATTTATATTTATAACATAATGAAGTTAATGATTAGTTATCATATACTCCCTCCGTCCCATTTAAAGGTTCTCGTCCCTATTCTCCGGTCAACGTGCATTGTTCTTAATCTTTTACTTTATATATCCAACTTTTATCAAATTTAAATTTTCTTGATCAAGCTTTGTAGCGGTTTTAATGTAGTTTCTGAATATGTAAATTTTATTTACTAAAAATAATTCTACTAATGACAGAGATCAGTTAACATTATGGTCAGTCAAACGTCGTAAACCGTGTGGGAAAGTTTAAATGGGACGGAGGGAGTACTACATATGATTAAATGTGATAATTCTATCATTCATATTTGTTAATGTATGTGTGTGTATACCTGTATATGTATTTTATTCACACAAAATACAATATTACTTATCATATTTATGCAAAAATATAAATAAAAATGTAATTTCTATGTCTCTGACTAGTCCCCGAGTAGGCGCTCGCCTAGCCGCCTGGGTGTTAGGGACTAGGTTGACGCTCGACTAGCGCCTAACACCTTTTAGAACATTGCTCAGCTTATGATCAACAACGACCAAAATTCTCACAAGCATAAGCTCCCTTTTACTGTCAAGAGAACGAAAGAATGTCCTCCTTTCACTAGAAGAATGACACTTGAGGATGTTGATGACGAAGGAAGATCACAGATCTTTGTAACCTGAAAGAAACAAAAGAAAAATTACAAACCTAAGCCACAACTGAGGAAGGTGGTAAAGTAATTGGGTCAGGCAACAACCAATAAACGAGTTGAAGAAAAAGAGCAAAGGGATGATCATGTTTGATCCAAGGTTGCACGAAGGCCGATTACTCTCAATGATTATATGCCAAAGGATTTTAAGAACAAGATGACTCAAATCTCGAGTTCTTGCCTTGGCACCCATGAGAAAGAAGTTAAAAGTTCAAGTAAATGTTCATCTCCAATTTCAATTAAGAAAGAAGTGGCTGAAACACAAAAATCAAGTGCATACGCCACTGACGTTGTCTTTAAAGATGAAGATCTTGTGTTGGGTGCTACTCCCCATAACCGTCCACTTTTTGTTGAAGGATACACTCGTGGACAAAGGTTCAGAAGAATTACGATAGATCAAGAGTATGCCGTTAACATTTTGACGGTTCGAGCTATGAAAGGCCTTGATATATCGATGGATGAACTCTCCAAAGCCGCCTAATGATTCAAGGCTTCAATCAAGGGGGAAAAGGCGTTTGGAATGATACGTCTTGATATGGTCATTTTCGGGCTGAAGGCAAGCACACTATGTCATGTTATTGATGCTAAAGCCTCATATAATCTTCTGTTGGGACGCCCATGGATTCATGAAAACGGTGTAATTCCTTCAACATGGCACCAATGCTTTATGTATGAAGAAAATGGCGTTGTGAAGAAAGTGATCGCTGATGAGACTCCATTTACTGAGGTCGAGTCCTACTTTGCAGATGCAAAGTTTTACTTAAAGACAAAAGTGTTTAAATATAATGACGCTAAAGGAAATGATGTTTATCGCTCTTTGACTGAGCCAAAATTGAAACAAAAGCTTGTTGAAGATGCAGAGGGGCTCACATTCCATCTTGCACAGATTAAGATATCTAAACCTCCTCAAAAGGCCCCTAAAGAGGAAGCCGAAAACAAATGTGAGGCTAAGCTCCCCAACACACGTACGAAAGAGGGTTTTGACCCGAACGCATACAAGTTCCTTGCCAAAACCAGTTATAATCATAACGAACAAAAGTTGGGGAAGCTCATTCCAGAAGCTAGCGGAGAAGGGACACCGAAACAAATCAATTTACAAGGGCACGTTGGATTAGGTTATGTTCAAACTAAACCCATAATGATCCTTATAAATAGAGTCTCAATACATCATATCAACGCTAATGATGAAGAAAATGAAGTGACTTCCAAGCTGAAGTACTTCGTCTTTGATCAAATTGGGGGGAAAAAATCGAGGCCCGCCATCTTTGACAGAATGAGTCTGAAGCCAAAGAAGGTTATAAAAAAGACTTCACAAGAATGGCTTGGAACGAGCTCGATGATGATGAAGCATATTGAAGACCCATGACTGGGACAAAACTTTGAAAGAATGTTTGTTCATGAAAGATTTGGATTGGAACATGTACACAATAAATCTGCTAAAGTTCTTTCCAAAAAGCAAAGTCTCAAAAAACACTTAAATCTCATCTCGTATGAAGCAAGAAACCTATGTGAAAGTAACCGATGGAAATGCACTTAAAGTTAAGCCAGTGACCGTTGTGCGCACTCGTGATTAATATGAAGACCAATATGTGAACTTGTACTTGGACCGCATTCGGTTAACATGCGAGACAAAAATTCTCGTAAAAATATGAAAACATAAACTATCTATTGAATTTCTCCTATTTATCTTTACTATGTAACTATTTAAACCTATATATTTCTAATATGCTAAGTTTATTTCATTTCTTTCATATTATTTATAGTAGACCCTACAAAAATCTTGAGTTTTTAGTGAACTTAAAAATGATAAACTACTTATAACCTTGCCATATTGATCAATAAAAATGTAAGGGAAGGAGAGGATTTAAAACAAATATTGAGCCAAAACAAATAAAGCTTGTCTGCACAAACCAAAACTAAATTTATTGAGTCTTATTTTGTTTCACTTCCAGCATTCCGCCCGCTAAAGACCAAAGTCCAAGCATGCTTCTGAAGAATTCGGATAATTTCCAAGGAAATGTTTGGAGCCTGGATATACTAGAAATTTGAGTATTTTTTAAGTTTTTATTTATACTTTTCAAATACAAATTGAAATCAAGTTCCACTAGAACTCTTCAATGTATATTAAAAATATATACTAGGTATATAGATACCGTATATAAGCATTTTTGTTGCACGGCATTTCCGAGTTCCAAACGGGCCCTCGCGAATTCCGAAAGGGTACGACAATTTGACCTGGGTTGATTTGAGTATATCGAGAGACCGAAATGCGAATGAAGCAAAATTCAATCTGATAGAATAGAGCTTTGACGTCCGCAAGGAACCCACACTCTCACTCTAAAACTCTCTCTCTCTCTCTCTCTCTCTCTCTCTCTCTCTCTCTCTCTCTCTCTCTCTCTCTAAAAGTACAGCTCAGAGCCTTATGAGCTCTCCTCCCCTCTCCTCCATCCGTCTCTAATAACAGAGGACCAACACTTTACTCAACTTCACCGCTTTTCTATTTCAAAGTGTACATGTAAGCATTTATGCAATACTCAGCCGGATGACAGACAATAAGTTATCTTGATGGATATCCGGCTTTTGTCTGACTCACTCTTTTACTAATGCTAAGGGAGAAGAGCTGTACGGGTACTATTATATCTAATTCTTATCAATCGGGTGAAGCTTCGGCTGCTTCGCCCTGAAATCTGCTTTCGGTGCGTCTTTCTTCACATACATAGATGTATGTCTATTTCTCTTTTATATCTGTGTAGGGTGGTTTGCTTTTTGGACTGGGTTTTGGGCAAGTACTGAAGCTGAAAACCCTAGAGGCTGCTGTTTAGTAGAGTTTTGGACCAGGGGCTTTGTAGATTTAGAATACAGGGTCGACCGTTTGACTTTTATCATTGAATCCATTGCTACAGAGTTCTCTTTCTTTCTTTATTTTTGTTTCTATTCAGTTGTGTGATTTAGTTTTTAGTGACTTGAAGTTTTTTTGGTTGAATCTCATGTCAAACTCATTTGACTACAACAGCTTATTATATTTGGAATCAAACGGTGTAAAAGAACGCAACTTTCTTCCGAATTATGAAGAAGTGCTTAAAAATTCTTATTTTGTATCACGATTAACAATAGTTTAGTTTGGATTGAATCATGGCAGGATGTTCTCATTTGGTACCTCTTAATATGTTTTCTATTTCCTACTTCCGTTTTCCTACTTCACAAGCTGTTCCAGCTAGCAGTTATACAACTTCCTTCCCTTTTTTGCTTAAAAATCGTCTTTTGAAATGCCCAACTTCAGTTCCTAATGTGAAGTGCATTCTAGATTGACTACATTTTTGGAATCTCTCTGGATTCAGTTGTGATCTGTTTTAGCACAATCTATACCCTGAAGCTACCCAGGTGTTAGATTGCTTCCATTTTAAGAAGATTCTGTAATTAATTAAGTGCGTCCACATTATCTCTTTCAGTTAGAAAATGCTGCCGCGAGGGGCTTCTACACCTCTTGGTAGTGCGCAGCCTGCCCCTACGTCACTGTTCCGATCAAATTCTAGTCTATTGGGTGGTCAAGGAGGTTCATTGCCGTCACAGGGCGGGTTTTCACCTATGGTGTCTCCACGAACACAATACGGAAACATGAACGTATTTGGTAATTCTCCCAATGTTGCATCTCTACTGCATCAGTCTTTTGGAAATGGAGCTACTCAGAGGGGTCTTACTGATAATGGGGCTGAAACGGATCCCTTATCCAGCATTGGTAACGGAATGGGTTATAATACACCATCAAATTCCAATACGACATCTCAAGTTCAAGGACAACACTTTCCTAATAGTACTGGGGACCAAAATATGACAGACCAACAATCGCAACAGCTCGATCCCCTTAATTTCCAGCACAATCAACATGTTTCACAGTTTTCTAACAATCCTGACAGTTCTCAAACACAGCATCAACAGCAATTTCAGTCAATGAGAAGTGGTCTAGGAAATGGTGCACCTGTTAAAGTGGAGCCGCAGGGCATTAATGATCAAACGTCACAGCATTTGCGAAATCTAGCCGGAGTGAAACTGGAACCACAACAACATCATAATATGAGGAGTATGGCAAATGTCAAATTGGAGCCTCAACATTCTGACCCATCTTTGTTTATGCAACAACAACAACATCAGCAGCAGCAGCAACAACAGTTTCTTCAAATGTCCAGGCAGTCCCCTCAAGCTGCTGCTATGGCCCAACTTTTGCATCAGCAGAGAGTCATGCAGTTCCAGCAGCAGCAACAACAACACCAGCAGCAGCTCTTGAAGGCTATTCCTCAGCAAAGAACCCCACTTCAACCGCAGTTTCACCCACAAAATCCGCCTATAAGGTCTCCAACAAAACCTTATTATGAGCCTGGGATGTGTGCACGCCGGCTGACTAATTATATGTATCAGCAGCAACACAGGCCTGAGGTAATGTTGACACCTCATAAATGTGTATGCTTTTCTCCCTCTAGTACCAAAACTAGTTTATTCTCAAGCTCGGCTCTCAAAGTGACCCTTTTTCGCCATAGCCAATGATTTTTGCTCAAATGGTACATCATTTTAGTATTTTTCCATTTAACTCTTATTCTTGTATTTTTTTTTGTTTTTCAGGATAATAGCATCGAGTTCTGGAGAAAATTTGTAGCTGAGTATTTTGCGCCAAATGCTAAGAAAAAATGGTGTGTCTCAATGTATGGAAGTGGTCGCCAGACAAATGGTGTTTTCCCTCAGGTTTCGTACTGTATAAAATTCACTGTTATTAACAATTGTTAGAAGTGACATTGCTATAATGTTTAATATTGTTTTCTTGATTGCTCTGTATTTTAGACAGTGGTGCATGCCATTAATGAAATAAGCTTGTCACTTGATATTTTTTGAATTCATAAAAAATTGCAGGTGTAGTTTCAATAGCTATTTATGATTATTTTTTTAAATAATGCAGGATGTGTGGCACTGCGAAATATGCAACCGTAAGCCTGGGCGTGGATTTGGTATGGTTTTTGTTTGTTTCCTAACATGATCTAACACATAACCATCTATTGTCATGGACATGTTTTCTGAGGAGTATTTGTTGTTGGTACTATAGTGTTAGATTCTTAAATGCCCTAAATTTAAATGTGAGAGTACACTTGTATTCTTTTTTCCCAAGCTATTTCACCAGCATTTTTATAGATAAATCTCTTTTTGCTAGTTATTTTAAGTTGGTGGTGCTTTGAGATTATGTTTAGTATTTGAATTGCGGCTTACTCTTCCAACAGAGGCAACTGTCGAGGTCCTGCCTAGACTCTTTAAAATAAAGTATGAAAGTGGTACTTTGGAGGAACTACTCTATGTTGATATGCCCTGTGAGTATCAAAATTCATCAGGTCAGATTGTCCTGGACTATGCCAAAGCAATTCAGGAAAGTGTCTTTGAACAACTTCGCGTTGTTCGTGATGGTCAGCTTCGAATTGTATTTTCACCAGATTTGAAGGTTACTCATGTTCACAGCATTACTTGACATCCTATTTCCTACTCATTCCCCTCTAGCTATTCCTTAAAATTAAAGCAGTGCACATTAAATAACATCTCTGTTCTCTTTGTATACTTGCAGATAGTCTCTTGGGAATTTTGTGCCCGTCGTCATGAAGAGCTTATACCAAGAAGATTGTTGATACCTCAGGTTCACAATGACATTTCGATTTAGCTTCTGCAGATGTCATGCATAGATTGTTGTTCTGCTCTGGCTTTTAAACATCTGTTGACACATTCCCACTATTGGGTAGACAAGTGGTGTAGGTGGAATCCTTTTTAACTTGGAGTGGGCCTGATAAAAGTCCACCATATAGATTTCTAAACTGAAAATTGTACTCGTGAAATAAAAAAGGTTTTATTGTACTTCTGGTGGGTTTGCCCCCATTCTATTCCCATGGTTATAACACATCAATCTCATCTTTGCATTAGTCCAGACTCTTGTTTTGCTCTTTTATTTGGGTTAAAATGACTGCACTTTGCAACTGGGAATCCGTATTCAGTTTTTGCTGAATGAACATAAATGTCCTAGAAAAGTTTGATTCTTGGGAATCTTCTTGGACATGCAGTTCAAGTTTGTGAAGTGTTGAATAGAGCATACAGTTCTGTTTATCGTAGTATATTGTTATTTTTATTTCGTCTGTGTACAATGCAGGTCAGCCATCTAGGAGCTGCAGCTCAAAAATATCAAACTGCTACCACCCAAAATGCATCATCTAATATCTCTGTTCCTGAGTTACAAAGCAACTGCAATATGTGAGCCCATATTATATAACTAATGGTGTAGTTCATTTTCTTTTGCATCTGATGCCTTTCACAAACATCATTTTCTTTATCAAGTTAACATCTGCCTTTAATCATTTTGAACTACTGGTAGGTTTGTTGCCTCAGCTCGTCAATTGGCAAAAGCTTTGGAAGTGCCATTGGTTAACGATTTGGGGTATACTAAGAGATACGTGCGCTGCCTTCAGGTTTGGTCCTTAGTCTAGTCGCGTGGCTAAATTGCTTCTCCCAACCCAAAAAACCTGCATAGTGCATGTTTTATTGCTTTAGAATTATACATAACATCGGGATCTTAGTTTTTTTCTTAAAAAGAAAGTGTTTGGACCAGATTTTGAGATTCTTTCTTCCGGTCTTTTCTTAAAACAGTAATACGAACTCAAATTTAACGATTTTTGCTGTGTGTGATTCAATTTTTACTGGGTGGTACTGTAAGAGATTTATTTAACAGTAAAGACCTAGCTAAGATCTCTACCAGAGTATTGACTTGGTAGCTTTAGGAGTATTGGCTAAGTGGAAGATATGATAAGCACACAGAAGTTTTTGTTATGGTGGGTTTTATTGTTTGTTGTTAAGTCTAACTCAATTATCATCTAATGATGCTTTTTATGTTATGTTACTTTTGCTATTCTATTACAATATTACTCCCTCCGTCCCATTTTACCCGTCTTACTTTCCTTTTTGTGTTGTCCCAAAATTAGTGTCACATTTCCTTTTTTCGAAAGAAATATTTGGTCCACAACATTTAACTTTATTATACTCAAATCTCAACCACAACTTTTACCTTTTCAACCACTTTTTTAAAAATTGTGCCCAATCTAAACAAGACACATGAAATGGGACAGAGATAATACTATTTTTTGTGCAGTAACCAATAAACTTCTATTCCTTTCCATTTTATTAATGCCACTAAAATTGATAATTGTACAATTTCCTTTGGTGTGCTTGATAGATATCGGAAGTTGTCAATAGCATGAAAGATTTAATTGACTACAGCAGAGACACAGGGACCGGGCCTATGGGTAAGTTCTGTTTGCTTTGTTTTAATCGCTTACTTTGATGATATGCATAGTCTTGCATCTGGAGCTAAATTAAAATCTTGGAAATTACATAAGGGTAAAAATATAGATTCTTTTATTGGTACCTAAATGTGTTTTTTTGTGTCCTTCAATGTGAGATTTTAGATTCGATGGTGAAAATTTCATCAATCATTTTGCAAAAAGGTGTATTTTCTCTCATAAGAAACCTGTATTCATAAAAAAGGGAATGAGGGTATACAGAGTGAGTGATGTTTTCAGGGTTTTTTATTTGAGTTTTGTAAGCATGAAAACATTGTTATGTGGCTCTTTTGAACAATATGTAACATATTTGTCTTTATGTCTAATCAGAGAGCTTATCTAAGTTTCCTAGAAGGGCAAATTTGTCACCTGGCACACATGCTCAATCTCAGCAGCACTCTGAAGAGGATCAGCAGTCACAACAACAGAATATGGGTCGTCAGAACACCACTAACAATGATCATACCTCTGCTTCACAGATACAACTTGCGTCAGGAAATGGTCTGCCAAGCGCCAACGGCCCTTTGAGCCCAGCACCCACTACCTCCTCTAGTAGTAACATTGCCGGGCAACTTCTCCACAACCAAAACTCCTCCATGAACAACCCTAGAGGGCACCAAACCGCCAGTCCCTACAGTGGGACCCCAGCAGCACTTCAAATGCCTTCCCCTAGCAACTCTAATCCTTCTCAGTTCCATCCTCTGACTCCTCCGTCTTCTAATAGCAACCACCCACCACAAACTTCACATGCTTTATTATCATCACACATCAACTCTGCAAGTTCCCCAGGTGACAACATCATGGTGGGTGCAACAAACGAGTCCCAGAGCTCTGTGCAGAAAATCATAAACGAAATGCTGATGTCTTCTCATCTTACGGGGAATAATAATGACATGAAAAGTGTGAATGGGGCCTCAGGAGCAAACAATAACTCTGCTGTGCTTAACGGCAGTGGTTGCCTTGCGGGAATGAATGGCAGTACAATGGGCATTGGATTCAGGAACTCAGGAAGCAGCCAGGGTGGCATGGTTCGAAATGGATCTGTGAATGGTGGACGGGTAGGCATGTCTTCCATGGGTGTGAATCATCCCCAGCAACAGGATTTCCAGGGAAATCAACTGCTCAATGGTCTCGGATCTGTCAATGGTTTTAACAATCTTCAGTTTGATTGGAAAACATCTCCTTAATTACTCGATGTTTCTCAAGTGCTAAAGTATTTGGCTGTGCTGTTCTTGAGTTGAGAGAGATGAATCAGTGGATCATTCAGTCGGTTACCATATTCTCTGTAAGTTATTGTGGAGTATTATCTAATCATAATGAATAGATATTCTGATGTTTGGTGTTGGTTTTCCTTGGAACGAAAGGTGTAAGGAAAAAAAGAAAGAGTATAGTACAGTCTGGAATGTGAAATGTTACTAACTTTAGTTTTGTTTGCTTTTACCAATTACGTAGCGGCTAGCTTTGAGGAGAAAATTTTAGGACAATTGGGTTACCACCTTTACGTTCTGTCTCTGTCCAATCTGCAGAGCATTATATATACTCCGTATGAAGTTATGTACATAAATATATTCTGGTCTGGATCATCACTATTTGCTGGAAGCAATTTTTATTGTAGAGTTCTCGAGATTTGAGTCATTTAACTCGTTTTACTTCCCAATGACTTTTTTAGAACACCAAAAGAGTTCACAGGACCTGTCACGTGGTTAAACTTTCTCATGGATGGACGTAAGGGTGGATATGGTTATGTAACTTAACCAGACCGTAACAGGCAAGTGAAGAACTAGGCCGGTTAATCGTTTTTAAGTTCTGGGCCGATTGAACTGGTCCAAACAGGTTCATGACATTTTAGTACCATAGTATTTCTTTCGAAGTGACATTTTGTCTCAATTTATTTTTAGTCTTTTTACCTTGTATTTTGTATTAATTACATTTTTATCTTTTTATTGGCTGTCAATTATGTTATGATGCATGAAAAGGATAAAACTAATACAATATACATAGTAATTATTTAGGATTTGGGTTTGACTAAATTGAAAGCCAATTTTTTGTCTAGTCTACATAGGGATGGATCTAGGCCGGTTCCGGTTCCGAGTGGGCTTTTTTTCAAATTGTTGGGCCCGGAACCGGCTCGGGTTGATGCCGGGTCCGGGCCTAACCGGACTGGGCCTGGGTCAATGTATTTTTTTTTGCTTTCTAATTAACCCCCGACCCCCCACCCCCAACCCCCACCCCCCCAAACACCCAGCTCTAAGTCTCTAACCAAGAAATACAAAAAAATTGAAAAAACAAAAAAAATAAAAATAAAAAAAGCCCGGACCTGCCCCGAACCGCCTGGGCCGCCCAACCCTCTTCAACCGGGTAAAAGCCTGGGCTTGCACAGGGGCGGGCCGGATGGTTCCGAGCCAGGCCGAATTGGTTGGACCGTTAGCTCGGGTTGATGCCGGGTCCGGGCCGGGTCCGGGTCGGACCTAGGCCCGGGCGGGCCGGCGGTTCAAGAATGGTGGACTCGGGACCGGCCCGGGTAGCCATCGGGTCCGGACGTCCGGTCCGGGTCGGGCCTCCGATTTGGAATATTTTTTTTTGCTTCCCCCCCCCCCCTCCCCCTCACCCCCACCCTCCCAAACCCCCCAAACCCATCCTACCCATCAAGCCCAACCCGGGTGGAACCCCAAAAATGAAAAAAAAAAAAAATTCAATTTGGCCCGGGCCGGTTCACCAAAATTGAGACCCGAGCCCGGACCCGCCCTACCCTCCGGGCCTAGGCCCGACCCGGACTCGGACCCGAGAACCGGGCCTGTCCCGGTCCCGCACAGTAGCGAGCCAGGCCGGTCCACGGGCCGGGTGGCCCGACCCGAGTCCAAGCCTAGTTGGATCCATCCCTAAGTCTACATTTCTACAACAGTATATGTATCTCAATCCCAATTTAAATGTCTGAAAAAAAAAATTTCTTTAATAATATTTTAAGAACACTAATAGTTACGATTTACAGATTTAGACTAAAACCTTTTTCAAAAAAGATTTAGACGACTAAACTTCATTCAACGAAAAGACTATGTATCAAAAGCTTGACAAGTGAAATTTGAATTTAAATGAAACTGATTAAACCACATAACAACGAACTATTATAAGAACCAAAGTGAAGTGTTTGATATATTCTCCTCTAAGAGCATCTCCAATGCATTCAAGTCTAGTCCAAATAAAGTGTGCCATATCATCAATTTGAACGTTGTTCATTTAATTTCTTCTCCAACGCATGTAGTCCTCCATTCAATTTTGATGATTTGGCAAAAAAAATGTTAGACACTGTTGATTTAAATGTTCGGGTGTAGAAAGTCTTCCTCACTTGATGACTGGATAAATTAAAAGGGAAATCGCCATGATTATCACTTCGCATGTCCGAAAAGTTAGTAAAAATTGGAACGCGTACGCCACTTTTCCATGAATATAATTTACTCTACCTACGTGCTTTCAAGACACTTTTTGCATAGGAGCAGTGGAGGAGCTAGGGGGGGCAAGCGCCCCCGCTCCGACTAATTTTTTTTACTAGTATTACTTATAATATGTTTCTTGCCTCGGCTTCTTTTTTAATTTTAAAAACAATAAGTACAACTTAAGGTTATTTTAAGATGAAGTGTTAAAATAAATAAAAAAGTATTTTCAGAAAAAGTAAAAAAAATGAAATATAGAATAAAAGGGGATTAATGAGTCAATGAGACAAATGAGCATCTAGTGTAAGGCTAAGTAAAAAAAAACGGGCATAAGTAAAAAAATGAAAAAAAAACATTTCTAAAGCCCAAGCCACCTAGACAATCCTAAAGCCTAAGCCCAAAAATGAAAAAAATAACAATTCAAAACGTAATCACTAAAGTCTAAAGCCATTAAGTGGGTTAAAAATTCAAAGCTTCATTAACAAAAGACCTAGGCAGTCGGCAGTCCCTTCCCACTCCGCCAAAAAAAATGAATCGAGCAGTTGAGAACGCAGGCAGGCAACGAACGTGAGAACTGAGAAGCAGCATCGCCCGCTCCCTCTCCGGCTTTACTCCCCAACAGAAATCTACCTTCCTTCTCCAGTTAGTTCTCACTTCTCCCCATTTGTTCTCAGATTCTGCAATTTTCAAGTAAGTTTCTCATCTGCCAATTTATGCCCATATTAATTATTTGCTCTCATCCCTAACGAAAAGTCAGAAATTATTTGTGTGAATCCTCAAATCTCAGTTCTAGATGCAATTTAATGCTATTTGTATAAGGAACATTTTTAATTCATACTTATTTTTGTTATATTTAGGAGTATGAGTTTGGATAAATTTGTAATTAAGACTAAGAGGTCTTTGATTGGAGGTGTTAGTTCTTCAATTGTTCCTAATCAGTCTATCTCTAGTGTTGAAAATCCCACTGCGTCAAATGAAAATATTGCTAGAGATGAGAGGAATGAGATGGACAAGAGAGCCCGAACAGAAAGTACACATGAATGGGATATTATTAGTGATCCATTTTTACGAAAACCAATTAATGAATATGCGCCGGGGATTATGGATGATGTGATGAGAGCATATGTTGTTAAAGGTGCTTGTCAACCAGCATCTCATAAGTTTCCACGAACTGAATTTGGTAAGACATTAAGGAGCTTTCGAGGAGAGTGGTTTAAAACTTGGGAATGGTTGGAATATAGTATTTCTAAAGATGCCGCTTTCTGTTTTTGGTGTTACCTTTTTCATGGGCATGAAGGAAAGAGATTTGGTGATGATGTGTTTGTGAGGACCGGATTCCGTAATTGGAAGAAAGCTCCTGAAAAATTTAGAGATCATGTTGGTATTGTAGAGAGTGTGCACAATGATGCTAGAACACAATTTTTTGCTTTCAAAAATCAAAAACAAATATTTCAAGAAGTCTCTCTTCAGGAACACAACTGTTGGACACGAACTTTATAATTTTTAGTCTTTGGTTTGCCCCTCCTTGGACAAACCTCTGGCTCCGCCACTGCATAGGAGCCTTCTTTCGTATTTTAATGTTTAGTGAGCGTACAATGTATTATGTGGATTAGAAAGCCCTCTATTTATTTGACAAGTGGTATGTTTTATTTAGACTAGACTTGATACCATTGATGATGCTCTAAAGAAACGAAATGCATACAATGACACAAATGACCCCTAACCCGTATACTTAGCAAAGGGTTAATAACTCATATAAGAACAATATGACACACTAGCCACATAATAGGTAAGTGTAAGACTATAATAATTGATCAAGTCTCTTTGCAACCAACTTTGATTTGAGCTTGAAACCTCAAAACCGAAAAAAGAAATACTAGCAAATCGTTTGACTCAAAAATACTAAAGCAATTAATGTAAGAACTGAAAAAGAAATAAATCGAAACCAAATTGAATCTTAAAGAAATCAGGGTTGAAATTTCTTGAAATCCTAGACAGATGTACGTTATGAGGGCTGCCTGCGCCATGTTTTTTGCTCTCTCATCAGATCAAAGGTTCATCTTGACTTGCTCTTCCTTTTCTAGTGTCATCTTCTTGCATTGATTTTCAAGATCTCGGTGACTCCGTTGAAGTCATTCTTAAAGGCTAAGCTAAATGAGGCTCAGTCGCGCGCTCCTCATGACGACTCACACGAGGCGGTGCCGAAAACTCTTCACATCGTGCGAAAACCTAGATCTTTGAATATTCATTAAATAAAGGGAAAATCGCACTTTTAGTCCCTCAAATAGTCACCATATTGAAATGTCGAACTCGTGTTCCCGAGTTTGTGAATGCCACCCCTCAATTATCGAAATTGCCGTAAATCTAGTCATTTGAGGGGTGAAATGTACAATCTGGACGAGAAGTACATTTCACCCCTCAAAGGATCACATTTACATAAATTTGGACAATTGAGGGGTGACATTTACAATTTTCGAAATACGGGTCTGACATTTCAATATGGTGACTATTTCAGGGACTAAAAATGTGATTTTCCCTTAAATAAATACTTCTATTTTTTCACAAAAAAGTCTTATGTGGTCTAGAAACAATTTGTGCACTTTTACTCTATATTTTTGAAATTACATCATCATTTCTTAAGAAAAAAATGTACGCTGTCTTATATAAATTGACAAAATTCGACAAATATGTAGGATAATATAGTAAAAATTTGTGTGAGTAAAAATTATGTAGAAGAGAAAAGATTTATATTGGCCTCATACTTGTTTTAAGGGAAAGTAAGAATTCAATTTTAACAAATAAATCAAGAAAATTTAACAACTAAGAAAATTGGCGAAATTGAAAGGAACATGATTTAAGTTATTTCTTGTGCTCTCTTTAAATATTAATTGCACACTTTTCGTTCTCGTTCCTGTTAAAGTGAATGTGTATTTGAGAATTTACAACGTGTTAGATACAAATATAAACATACAAGTAAGAATTAACAACGAATTTCCACATTTCACCAAATACTTTCGTTTTTGGGAAAACTAGTTATTCCACCCGTGCATTGCACGGGATGAAATACTTACATAGTAGCATGTTCTATGAAAATTAAAAAAAACTTGATAATAATTCCGCTGATGGAATATACTCCCTCCGATTCTGAAAGATCTTTACACTTTGACTTCACAAATATTAAGGAGTTTGACACTGT